TGGGATGTTTTCTTGATGCGCACTTAACCTTTATATAAAACTCTCTCTTATACATGTGTTTCTGTGGATTTGTTTCTCTAAAGTACCCAGACTAATACATAGATGCATATTTCCCTGATGTAACTAGAACAGTTAAATGATTAAACTAAGTCTATGAATATAAGGTAGTTTTATAAGCAACTGTACTTAAGCTATTTCTCATTTTGCATGACCGAAACATCTCAAAACTTTAGGAACATTTGAAAATGCTAACTGCTATTTAGAGTAGTGCTTTTCTTTCATCTGTTTTGAGATTTGCATATGTATTTTCTAAAATTCATTTTGACACATCTCACTGACACTCCCACCCCCATATTTCAGGAAGAGAGAATGAACAGAAATTGAATAACAAGACCCACTTCAGGAAAGCCTTGAAGACTCACCCTTCCCTCACGAAGGAGATCAGGACCATTCTAGAGCAGGGTTTGGTGGAGAAACTGGAAACCTTGGGGATTGATGCAGTGAGTCATTGATTATTTTTGTGCTTTTTCATTTCCTTGTATTTTGGTTTCCACATAGTCGATGATCAGAGAAGAGAAAGAGGCACTGTTGGTGACCAGAGGCAAAGGTGACAGGAGTTACTTCTCATATATTTAGATAAATAAGTCACACTGGGTGCCAGGCATCTTCCTGAAGAACTTCACAAATATTAACTCATGTCAAACTCAGAAACAAACCTCTCTTGTAAGTCACCTTACCGCCTCTATTTTGTAGAGAGAGGGCTCAAAGAAGTAAGTGGCTCTAATCACACAGCTAGTCACGAAGAAGCTGGTGTTTCTGTGTTGCCAACATTCAAATACTAGCCCAAACTTGTGTTTTGTATTGTTCCCAAATTGATTAAGTTCGGTGTATAAAAGTTTACATTTTTAAATTGTGGTAAATATCTACTCTGCAACAAAACGTCTTGTATTTCAACAGTGAAGTGACATTAACCGTGTTGTTTGTAGCCATTGCATCACCTGTTCCTAGGTAAACACAACCCACTGTGTGTATGCCTGGGACTTCCAAACCCATTGCTATCAAGTCAGTTGTGACTGATGGTGGCCTTGTGTGTTACAGGGTAGAACTGCTCAATAAGGTGTGCTTGGTTATCCCTGCTAATGGAAACATGTCTTTCTTCTGTGGGGCTGCTAGATAGGTTCACATTGTTAGTCTCCTATTGCCATACAACTCACCTTGACCCTATATAGGGTTTCTGAGGCTGTGGGTTTGAACCACTACATTATGATTGGCAGTCCATTGCTTATTGGTGGAGTAAAAACCATTCTCTTACCCAGGAACAAGGTTTGTGTTGCCTGGATTGTCTAGATCAGGCATCGGCACACTTTTAAGATGGAAGAATCATTCCTGTTCCTCAAAACATTCTAAAAATTATTCGAGAGCTATAAATATATTTTTTCCAAACAAATTACATCACCATTATTTGAATAATATCCTTTAAAATTATTCAATTTTACTTCAGAGCCACGTGTGCATACCGAAAGAGCCACATATGGCTCATGAGTCATACTTTGCCGACCCCTGGTCTAGAGAAACAAAACCAGAGACACTCATATATGTATAAGAAAAAAATTTAGATCAAGAAGTAATTTGATATCAAGAAGGCATCCCAGCCAACTCCAACTGAAGTCCATAGGTCTGTTGTTAGCTGGAGCTTCTTCAGACTCATGCAGTTGCATGCTGATGTCGCAGAAAGATAAAGCAGGCAGCAGGGAGCTCACAGGCCAAGGGGAGAACAGCCTTGTGGCTACAAGATTGGAGCTCAGGTCCAAGGTTGGCCCCTCACATGAGTCCACTCTGGAGGCAGACACCGAATCCCAGGAAGCAGGGAGAGATAACTCCTCATAGTCTCTCGTGAAAAGGCCATACCCACAAGCAGGCATCATCGTTCTGTGACCTGATTGATAGCTCGGACTCCATCCCTACTTTCACACAGGTTCCAGTTGACTTAAGATCTAATTGCAGCAAGGTGCCTCTCTCCATCTGGCAATGCATCTTTGTTTCTTCTTGACTGCATTCATCCATCCTTCAGGGCACAACTCTTACCTCTCCTGCATGCCTTCTCTGATCACTGCAGTCCCCTGTGGCCTCTCTTCTTGGAACTCTACTAGCCTTTGTGGACTCCTTGGCCCTTATCATACACAGCCTTGCATTGTTGGCTAGCCAGTCATATACAGTAACACACCTGCCTTATGTATCCAACTCACTGTGAGTGCTGTTTGGCCCATCTCACAGGATGTTATGTGTTGGATCTTCCTCAGCTGGAGCTGAGGAAGGAAGGAATGAAGGCTTTCGCACTTCATCCAGGCACGTCCCCATGAAATGAAAATGGCAATTTGGTTAAGTTAAGCTTTTTATTTCTTCAGGATATACGGGGCATACCAACTGACCACTTGAATAGAGTGCTGAGAACTGTGGAGTTGGTGAGACAGGAGAGAGAGAGGCAGTTACCTAACATTCAACAGATTCGAGAATTAATTGAACAGAAGGTCAGCTGTAAAGTTGAGGAGAGAACCTTACTGTCTTCAGGTAACTTCCATTTCGAAACTGTCTTTGCAAGTGCAATTGAACATTCAACAGCCTTTTCAATGTTTGAGATGACTTACATGAGAAGTGAGTGTACTTCACTATAAAATGCAGGGATGCATCATCTGATGTCCACAGTGTGTGCGTGCTGTGGACTAGAACACTATGTGATTGGGCGTCGCGCAGACACCACATTAAAACCTAATGGGAGCCTGTTTGCCGCGGTCTGCATTGCCACTGCTGCCGCCATTGCTGTCATAGCAGAAGCTGGAGGGACGAATGAGAGGCAGAAGGCACAGTGGTGGCTGAGAGGGTGACAGCAGGAACAGAGTGAGAGGAAGTGAGGGGGAGGAGGAAATGAAACACACTTGGCTCTACCTGCCATTATGCCCACCTGGGCTGCAGGAGCAGCCTGAGCATCCAGTTCCTTCTGCTGCTGCCTGCCTGCCAGGCAAAGCCTGCATCCGACCCATCGTCCAGGGCTACAAGAGATTGCATTTCGAGGTCTTTAGAACCATTTGGGAGAAAGAAAAGAGCAAGGGTGAAAAACGAGGAGCTGATATTAAGGGCTCAAGTAAAAAGTAAATGTTTTGAGAATGATGATTGCAATAAATGTACAAATGTGCTTGACACAATGGATGTATGTATGGATTGTGATAAGAATTATATGAGCCCTCAATAAAATGATTTAAAAAAAATAGCAAACCCAAATCTTATTAGAACCACAGGCATATATGGTTGCCCTTGCCCAAACCAATGTTAAATGACTCCTACCTGTATTGGGTCTTGATTTTGTGCCTGTAGACTTTAAAAGCCTCTAGACCAGGGATCCTCAAACTTTTTAAACAGGGGGCCAGTTCACTGTCCCTCAGACCGTTGGATGGCCGGACTATAGTTTAAAAAAAAACTATGAACAAATCCCTATGCACACTGAATGAGTTGGCAGCTAAGCAGGACAGGCAGTGGCGGCATAAACACCCGGCGGGCCAGATAAATTTCCTGGGTGGGCCGCATGTGGCCTGCAGGCCGTAGTTTGAGTACCCCTGCTCTAGGCTCTCAACTCTTAAGACTGGCTTGTTCATTCCAAAGGCAGCGTAGCCAGTATTACATGACTGCTTTGTGCTTGTTGCGCAAAAGGCATCGAGACTCACAGATGGCATTGCTATTGCAGACAGGTACACTGTTTCTCTCCTGGAGGCCGTCTCAACTGGAGAAATTCCCAAAGTGGTACAGCTGCCTCAGAAAAGCAGACATTTGATTAGACAGAGTCCTGTTCTTTCGGAGAGAGCATCTGATCCAAAGTGAGTATTTTTAACCCCTGAGCTTCTTTTGACCCAACAGAGAACAACCCTGGCAGTTTCTCCCATCCTCTCGATCCCGAGGGATTTGTTTTGCTCCTCTTCCTCATTATTATACATTAGAAGCAAAAAAACCCATTTACAGTGTGTTGTAGCATTCCATGTAGAATGCACTGTTAACGTCTTAGCTTATTAGCGTGTTATTATATGTGCTAGTCTGGATAGACTAGAGAAACAAATTCATAGACACTCATGTGTATAAGAAAGAGCTTTATATACAAGAGCAGTTGAATATTGAGAAACCATCCCAGCCCAGTTCAGATCAAGTCCATAAGTCCTATATTATTAGCCCATATGTCCAATACCAATCTATAAAGCTTTCTTCAGACTCATGAGACACATGCAATGATGCCGAATGCTGGAAGATCACAGGCCAGTGGGTGGAAGGTCTCATGGATCCAGTGGTGATGTAAGCATCTCAGCACTGGCAGGGATCTCCACATGGTTCCTCCGGCTCCTGAGCTCTAGTGTAGCTCCATGTGACTTGTCTATGGAGATGTCTTGCAGAGGGTGAGTGTGTGTCCCACCTCCAGTGAGCTATTTATCTCCTTAATACCTTCAAATGAGGTCATCAAGTTGCGACCTGATTGACAGGCCAAACTCCACCCCTTCACTCTCAAGTCTCAAATTGACAACAGATTATGTGACCACATGATACATAATAATATGGTGCTATATTATTCACTTGGACAATATATAAATACTTTTCTGTTGTTTTTATTTTTTAGAATGCGGGAAAATGCCGTTGAAGATAGTTTCCCCAGAAAGCCTACAACTATTACGTGAGTACTTGGGGAGAGAAAGCTTATTAAATATAAATAAATAAAGTCTTTTCATGAAACATTCCTTTCCCTGTAAATTAGCATGCTTTTTGTGGTTAGCTAAAGCTCCAAAACCCAAACTCACGGCCCTCGAGTGGATTTTCATTCACAGCGGCCATATAGGACAGGGTAGAACTGCCCTGTGGTTTCAAAGTGCTGACCTTTGGTTAGCAGCTCCATGCATACATAGCCCATTATGCCACCAGGGCTCCCGAAATTGTTAAATGTCATGAATTTGTGATTTCTTACTTTGTGGCATGCTATTTGTGACCCATATATTTTTTTATGGTTACTTGCATCAATAGCATTTCTCACATTGGGGATCCCATGAAGTAGAGAGACCACAGCTGTCCCATTTCTATAGCTCCAGCCCCAAAGTCCAGCACTTTCTCAATATATATATATTTAAATGAAATGAATGATGTTGAGTTTGAAATGCTGGACCCATGATAATGTGGATTTATTCCAGATCTAGTACTTGAGCTTTCCAAGTCCTTATGAGAGGTGATAATGACCCTCGATCTTTACCTTTCTACATTTTCCTAAGATGATTAAGAATTGTAGCTCAGTTGCTCATTACGTGTGCACCATTGGTATGGTTGCTTGCCTGCTCTAAGCCTCCATTTTCTTATCTGTCATTGGGATGCTATGGAAAGGTCTCGGCTCAGTGCCTGGTACCTACTTAGAAGGCTCAATAAATTGCAGATGTGTTATTGTCATTAATAATAAATAAAATCAGTTTAATCATCGTTAAATGTCCTCCTTAATGCCTTGTTCTGGAGACACTAGTGCCATGAATATTTCTGTATTGAGGCATTATGTAGTGAGGATGATTATATCAATAGTTGTTTACCCATCAAAAGCACTTGTCATCCACATAATCGCCTCAGACGAACTTACTTCTATGGGCCAAAGTATAGTAGTCAACATTTAAAAGACCAACACTTGTATCAGACGGGTAAGTGGCTAGTAAATACTACGTAAGTAAATGAATTTTTTATTCCTATGAAAGACCCCTGTGGTGCAGTGGCTAAAGCATTTAGCTGCCAGCTAAAAGATTGTCAGTTTGAGTCCACTAGCCACTCCACAGGAGAAAGAGGTGACAGCCTGCCTTGATAAAGACTGAGAGTCTTAGGAACCACGTGGGGCAGTTCTCTGTCCTATTAGGGACTTTCTCAGTCAGAAATGACTGGGTGACAGTGAGTTTGGTTTGGTTATTCTGATAAACTTCTGTACATTTTTAAATGAGGTCATTGCAAAACAAAACAAAGCAAAACAACTGAGATTGTGTAACAATACAAACTCATAAAATGTAGTATAAATGTATGTTAGACTCAGTGATGCAGTTTTAGCAGGTAGCATTGTTTCATTGAGGAAAACATTCTTCTGTTGAGAAATGTTTTCCTTGGGTGTGGAAAAACCACGACTATTACGGATGTGCAATTTGGGGATGTCGTGAAAGGTAACTTCAGTGCATTTTGACAACTAATACCTCATGGTTGGAATGGCTCTGACCACCACCTTACCTTCTCTGTGGTCCTACTGGTTTGCTGTGCTCTGTGGGAGCATCCAAAAAATCTGACCACCTTACAGCGAGTAAAGTACTGAGCCTGGCGAAGAAAGTGCCACCCATTGTGGTTTTGTCTTGTTTAGGACTCCCCCCTTTAGTTCCGAGGAGGAACTGGATGATGACCACCCCATGCAGGCATATACATCCCCAGACTTACTTCCTGTGCGGTCAACCAAAAGCAACCAGAGCAGCTTTGGAAAGAACACTTCCAGAAGCGATACAGACTGGACGGAGGGAAGTGATGTGGAGACCTCCGATGTCTCTCCCAAACCCTCAGGTCAGCTTTTCTCATGGGAAAACATTTTTGAAACCTTATTTAGGGCTGTGGTTCTCAAGTGTGCATTAATCTCTTTTATTAAATCATTTTATTGAGGGCTCGTACAACTCTTATCACAATCCATTCATCCATTAAAAAAAAATCCATTCATTCATACATTGTATTAAGCACTTTTGTACATTCGTTGCCATCATCAATCTCAAAACATTTTCTTTCTACTTGGGCCCTTGGTACCATCTCCTCATTTTCCCCCCGCTTCCTCCCCCACCCTCTCCCTCATGAACCCTTGATAATTTATAAATTATTATTATTTTGTCATGTCTTACACTGTCTGGTGTCTCACTTTTCTGTTGTTCATCCCCCAGGGAGGGAGTTATATGTATATCATTGTGATCGGTTCCCCCTTTCTCCCCCACCTTTCCCTTACCTTCCTGGTATTGCTATTCTCATTATTGGTCCTGAGGGTTTATCTGTCTTGGATTCCCTGTGTTTCCAGATC